AACCTATACTCATCCCATTCTCAACTTGTATTCTGGGTTGCCATTGTACACAAACTAGACTTATGTATTGTTCTTCAATTATTCATGAGCTACTTTGCCTGTGTATGCTAACAATTTTGTAAATATAAATCCAATTGTTGCATTTATGGGACAAAACCAGAGGTAACATCTGGAGATCTGTGATTTGACATTCTGCTGTTTCAAAAATATAACTAGTTGTAAATCAGGACTGAGAGCTTAACAATTTCCCCTTATCATTTTCTTCATTAAAATCACATATGCACCCTGTGTATTCTACAATCATCAAGTATTGTAAGGGAAATAACATTTGGGGTGGAATTTAATTTGGGAAACTGACATAGGAGAAGATTTAAACTCTGTTCTTCAGTGCTCCAGCCAGATTCGCATCTTCCATCCACTGACTGGCAATAATTGTTATGGTCTATAAAATATATAAAGGATGGAAAATGTTACCATGGATTTCCCAATTCTGTGGAAAGTACACATAAAATAAAATAATAAAATACCATAACTCATCTTTCTCCCACCCTGATCCTTTTCCTTTGTCTAGTTTGTATACATGCATGTTTTCATATAATGGAAAAATACAAAGAAACAACATGGTAGTAATGTCACATCTGCTTTGAGGAAGATGACAGAAATAAGCTTCAGATTTGTTTAAATTAAAATTGCAGTTTATACTGCTATACAGCTTCCTTGACTACTTCATATATGAAGTTTATAACAGGCCACCAATGTTACATTGACGTTCCTAGAAAAATGTGAATAATGAATATGTACTTAATAAACAGTGATTAGTAGTAAGTAATTAGTGGAAACTATTCATTTTTAATATTTATGAGCATAGTGATCAGATTGCATGATATTTTTGCCCCTTTTAGGACAAGGTTTGCCTTATTTATTTATGTATGTATTTGAATAGTACCCGTCTGATTGCCTTGTTAGAAATGTTGTCATTGTGTTTTGTACTGAAATATAAAACGTTCATTGACTATCAATGGTAGTGGGGAATATTATTTGCATATAAAATTAACATTGCTGTATTTGAGATCTGAGTTGCCTTTCAGTTCTGTCTGAATTGAAATACAAAATGTCAAATACTAGAGGAAAAAAATTTAACCCTTTTTAAAAAGAGTAATCATATCCACAAATTATGCCAGCTCTGTGAGTATACAATTGCACTAAATCCTCTAAAAGGGAAAAGATCCATGGTGCTATGGTGCTATGAAGTTACAACACTGTAATTAGGACATTTGTAAATAAACCAATATTTATCAAATTCTCCAAAAGTCATGTGATCACCCTGAATAAGGATGTATTGGAAATGTGTGTAAGTTACTCATGTTCTAGCATGCAACTTAAAAGGAAGCTGAAAATCTGTAAGCTAGTGGATGCAACTAGAGGCACTGATACACTAACTGAGGCAAGAAGGGATTCCAAGAAGGCTACATTCTGGATGTTTTTACAAGCAATGACAAGAGCTTGTAACTGAGAAGGCGCATTCCAGTAGATGGCACTCATAGTATAACAAGTTATTATTCATGATATGCTCACTAATAGCACTAATCATAATCAGTCACTGGATCCCCTGCCTCCTTAATTAGCGGTCCCACTACTTGTCTCCCCTTCCTCTTGCTATTTACATGCTGATGGAAGCCCTTTTTGTTGCTCTTGATATTCTTTGCAAGTCTCGGCTTGTAATCAGTCTTAATCTCCTCCAGGTATACCCTTTTGTCTATTTGCCCCAGTACCCATTTCCTACAGAGGTTCCTCTTGCATCTAATCCCTCTAATCACTTCCTTTTGCATCCATGGCGGCCCTCTCCTTCACCTCGCCGCCTTACTAACTCAAGGTATCGTCAAGGCTTGTGCCTCCAAAACCTCCCTTTTGAGTGCCATCCACTCTTCCTCAACTCCCTTGCCTTCCAGTAACCCGTCCCAGGAGACTTTCCCCAGTCTGGCCTTCAGTTGGCCAAAGCTGGCCCTTGTGAAGTCCTAGCTTCTAGTGCTCAACCTGCTGCATGTTCCCATTCCCCTGATCTCAAAGCAAAGGATGGAGTGATCCCTTGCATCCAGAGCTCCCCTAATCTGTACCTCATCGATCAGCTTCTCCCTGTTGGTCAAGACCAAGTCAAGGAACCCCCCCCCCCCCGGTCACCTCTTGGACCCTCTGTGTGAAAAATCCTCCCTGTATGATGCTAATCTAGGAAACGCCATGACCTGGCTGTCACTGCTGAGCGAGTCTCCCAACTAATATACGGGAGATTGAAATCTCCCATAATTACTGTGTCCCTCCCCCAAGATATCCTTAGAATCTGATCTGTCAGGACATCATCCAGGGTCTCAAGTTGACCTGGAGGGTGATAACATACCCCCACTGTCAGGTCCCTCTCCCTGTCAAAACCCCTTAGTTTCACCCAGACTGCCTCTACCAAATCCCCATCTGCGCTGCATTCTATCTCACTGCATCCTATCCCTTCCCTGACATATAAACCTATGCCCCTGCCCCTCTTTCCCTTCCTGTCCTTTCTAAACAGGTGATACCCCTCTATGTTTACATTCCAGCCTTGCCTTTCATCCCACCAAGTTTCCATGATCCCCACCAGGTCATACCCTCCTATTCCCAGGAGAGCTTCAAGCTCTTCCTGCTTATTCCCCATGCTCCTAGCATTGGTGTACATGCACCTCAACTCCTTCCTTTCTGCAGCTTCCTTTCTTTGGAATCCCCAGCCTCCTCCTTCCTATCATCTTCCTTGGTACCGCCCCACTCTTTGTAGGAGTCCTGTCATTCCCTGCAGTACCTCTAACACCCTGGTCCCAGAGCTATCTCCTGGCCTGATGCTGGGAACCCCTCAGAGACCCTACCTTGCTCCCCCACCTTGTCTGTCCTGCACTGCTCCTCACTTGCCCAGTTCTTGCCTTTGCCAGGCCCCTGGCCACCCTCAGCACACTCTCCCAGCCTCTGCTGCTTCGCAAGAGGCAAGAGCCAAAAAACAAAACAAAACAAAACACACCCTTCATCCTGCAGCCCCCCCTCACATTTTTTTCTGTAAGGTCATTTGGGAAAAGAATTTGAAGTATTACTAATTTTCTGTAAATTTCCGGTTTTATGTTCTACTACCTCAGTTGGTTTTCTCTGTAACTTCAGTTAGTGTTTTAAAAGATTACTCAAAGCTGGATTTTACCTCACAAATAGATACATAGATGTATTAGAGAAAATTTTGGACAAGGATGCCTGGACAACAGGCTTGCAAAAAGGAGGACAATGTCATGCAGTTGTTGTAGTTAGTTGTGAAGTCGCATCCATTGCGACCCCATGGACAACATTCCTCCAGGCCTTTCTGTCCTCCACCATCCCCTGGAGTCCACTTAAGCTCACACCAACTGCTCCAGTGACTCCATCTAGCCACCTCATTCTCTGCTGTCTCCTTCTTTTGCCATCTATTGTTCCCAGCATTAGGCTCAAGAAAGAGTCTGCTCACAAAATGAACTCAAGTTGTAGTAAAGTTACAAAGGTGTTTGGGCATTATCAGCCATCCAAAGGAAATATTATTGTGATGTGTACAAGTTTCCCCGTTCTAATATGGGGAGGGGTTCTGCTCTGTGTTAAATCACAAGTTAACTATATTGTTATCGTTCTTTGGTGGCATCACAAGTTAACAATATGGTTATTGTTATTTGGTGGTGAATATACTATGACTTGTCACCTTCATGAATTCTTTATTCACAGCTTTGATGTGGAAAATGGCCCATCACCAGGTCGCAGCCCACTGGATCCTCAGGCTGGCTCTTCTTCTGGACTTGTGCTACATACCACTTTTCCAGGGCACAGCCAACGCAGGGAGTCATTCCTGTACAGATCAGATAGTGACTATGACCTGTCACCAAAGACTACATCAAGAAATTCCTCTCTTCCAAGTGAACAGTAAGTACTGCAGCACATTTATATATCAATATTAGTGCCATAACACTAAGCCCCCATGCCGGAACAGGCTTTCATGTAATGGGTCACATTGGGTAGGCTTGAATTAGGAAGAAGGACCTAGTCTTCTGGCTAGCCAGTATGAGAGAAGGAGGAATGCTGGGATTCTTGTGGAGAAGAGGTCAGACATTTTCTCCAAAAATGGTTAGGCAAAACAACCCTGCTAGGAAGATGACCCACTGTCCAGAGCTGCCTAGAAATTACCTAATCAATAGCACCTAGCAAATACAGAAAAAGGACCCACCTCTTACCCAGTGAAACATTATCTGAGTTAATCAAGAACCAATCAAGCACCCGTCCAACAATTAGCATAAATCTGGGAAATTCATCTTTCCCATAGACTGACTAAAGAGAAAGATATATTGTAAAGATCAGACACTACGGAGAGTGAGGCATGCTCTAAACATAGCTGGAAGAGTGAAGCAAAATCTGAGCACAGGCCCGCCCCTCCCTGCTCCACCCAGCCTGTGGATGCCTTGCAGCCTTCCGGCCCACACATAAGATAGCTGGCTAGAGTCGACCCTGCAGGACAGGTAATGGGCCCCATTTCTCTGTCTGTCTGTCTGTCAGCCTCTCTCTCTGTTAGGCCAGAAGTTATTTATCTCTTCAGAAATATAAGGTAAGATTGGAATGCAACAGGAATATTTGCTGTCTAGACAATATAGGGTTAAAAGCTTGTGCCTGTGCTATACTTTCTACTGAATTAACTTTCCTTTCCTTTCCTTTCCTTTCCTTTCCTTTCCTTTCCTTTCCTTAAGTGTTGTGTGTGTTTGTGTGAATGCAAAACCAAAGCTTGTTCTTTCCAGTTCATGTGTTAAACCCCAACAAAAGGTCTCAAACCTTTTGAGGTAATCTGGCGGGCAACCACCTCCTTTTGATGTGTATTGTTCCCCAAGATTACCTGATGTAGCAGTACATATGTAGAGTATCTACACTACAGCAGGAACATATGCTGTACCATGTGTATTAATAAATTAATGGCCTATGGTTAATCAATATATGATAATTAATCCATTACTCTTAACTATTATGTATTTTTTAGCATGTCTTACATTACAAAATTTTAGTTATACACTTCCCTGGAATGGAATACTCCTGCAGCAATCAATTTATGATATTAAAACTATCTAGTGCTGACAGAGAGGGGCATGACATAAGGGAAGAACATCTTTGCTTTAGTTGAATTTAACTGCTTATAAAAGCATGTCTCTTCTGGTAAAGCATACGAGACATATTTTCAATATTTTTCTTTTTGATTAGATGCATAGAAACAGAATGAGTCAGAAGGGATCTCCCAGGTCACCTAGTCTGACCCCCGGCTCCATCTGGCTCCACTCATGGCATGCCTACCATGTGCATGCCCAGCCTATCTTTAAATACCCTCACCGATGGGGCTTCAACCACCTCCCATGGAAGCCCATTCTATACCCTGGAGGTCCTAACCTTCAGGAAGTACTTCCTGGCATCCACCCTGAATCTTGGTTTCCTGAGCTTTGTTGCCCTCCACTGGAGGGGGGGAAAGGTCATGACCTGCCTCTGCATGGCACCCACTCACATATCTGTATGTTGCTAATAGGTCCCCTTCTCTCAAGGCTGAAAAGACCCAGCTACCTCAGTCTCTTCTCATATGGCATACCCTGCAAACCAGCCACCATCCTACTGGCCCTTTGCTGCATTGATTCCAACCTAGATTTCTAGAGCTTTCTTTGTTATAAGTTTTTTCATTGTCAGAACGGTCATTAGGCTAACTAGCCTGTAATTCCCTTTGTCTGCTTGCTCTGCTATCCTTTTTGAATATTGGGACCACTGACACTACCCTCTGGTATTTCTCCCAATTTCCATGAGGCCTCAAAAATGAAGGCCAATGGATCTAGGACTACCTCTGCCAATTCCTTAAGTACCCTCAGGGGTAACCCATTAGGACCAGATGCTTTTGTAACATCCGGGGCCCTAAGTTGCTCTTCAACTTCATAGAATCATAAAATAGGAGAGTTGGAAGGGGCCATGAAGGCCATCGGGTTCAACCCTCTGCTGTTGCAGGACACCAGTTTACACCATCCTACTCAGTTGGCTGTCGTTTCTTTTTGAATGTCTCTAGTGTGGGAGAGCCCACCTCTAGGCAGCTGGTTCCACTGTCATATTGCTAAGCCAGTAAGGAAGCTTTTCCTGATGTCCACCCTGAATCTGGGTTGTCACAACTTGAATTGAGTATTCCGTGTCCTACACTCTGCTCTCAGCAAGAAGAGATCTTGACCTTCCTTTTTGTGACAGCCTTTGAGGTACTTATAGAGGGATCTCATGTCCCCCCTCAGTCTTCTCTTCTCAAGGCTGAACATTCCCAGTTCTCTCAGTCTCTCCTCATAGAGCAGTATTTCCAAATCTTGGATCACTTTCATTGGCCTCTTCTGGGCCCTTTCTATTTTCCTGAATCTTTCTTAAATTTTGGTGCCCAGAACTGGGCCCAGGATTCCAGATGAAGTCTGACTAGTGAGGAGTATAGCGGAACTACTACTTCTCATGACTTGGAAATAATACTTCTGTTAATGCATCCCAAAATGGCATTTGCCCTTTCGGCAGCTGCATTGCATTGTTGGCTCATGTTTAGCCTATTGTCCACAATTACTCCAAGATCTTTTTCAGTTCTGTTGAGCTTCGTATTCCCCATCTTGTATCGATGAATCTGGTTTCTTTTTCCTGGGTGGAGGACTTGGCCCTTGTCCTTATTTAATATCATTCTTTCAGCCCATTGTCAGGAGCAGGGCCTGAATAACTACAAGTTCTCGCAGAGCCAGGGGCACCTTTTTGGGCACTTGCAACGAGCACCTGTGCAGCAATTATGCAGTGCAGCTGGAGACCCTGAAGACCTGCATAAAAGGCTTCCCTGTGCTGCTGCTTCTTGCTACAGCAATGCAAATGTCCTGATGACTTCTTGTGCTTTGGCCCCTGCTTTGCTATGCCTTGTTCCAGTTCATTCCTGCCATGTTCAAGCCCTGTTCCTGTTCGTTTTTGCCTTGTCCAAGTTCTGCTCTAGTTCATTCCTGACTTGTTCTAATTTGCTCCTACCTCACTCCCGTCAGCACCCTTCCTGCTCTTCCTGTTTTTTCTCTGAGTAGACCCTGCCTCTCTCCAATCTGCTACAACCCTTGCATCAATGTCTCTCTGGTAAACTGACTTTGGAACTGTGCTCTGACTCTCATTCCCTCTGTGCATGCCAAAGTTGGACTACCTATAACAATATAATAAATAATATATAACCAATAAAAATAAATTAAATAAAAAGTGACTGTTAAACATTGAAATACTAATTTTTACAATAACTATTGAATAAAAAGGTTTTGACCTGGTGCCAAAATGAATATAAGCACAGCGCCAGGCGAACCTCTCTGGGGAGTGCATTCCATTATCTGGCCGACACTGCAGAGAAAGCCCTACTCCAAGTAGATGTCCTTTTTACCTCCTTCAGGGAGGGTTCTCGGAGCAGGGTCTCTCCCACAGATCTTAAGGGGCATGAGGGCATATAAGGAAGGAGATGTTCCTTCAGGTATTCTGGTCCCAAGCCGTTCAGGGCTTTATAGGTCAAAACCAGCACTGGATTTTAACTGGAAGCCAGTGGGGCTGGTAGAGGACTGGCGTTATATGAGAATAATGACTGGTTCCTGTCAGCATCCTGGCTGCTCTGTTCTGTACCAGCTGAAGTATTCAGACTGTCTTCAAGGGGAGGCCCACATACAGAGCATTGAAGTAATCCAACCGGGAGGTTACCAGACCATGAATCACCATTGCTAGGCAGTGTTTCTCCAGATAAGGACACAGCTGATGGACCAGCTGAAGCTGGAGGAAGGAGCTCCTTGCCACCACTGTCACCTGGATTTCCAGGGGCAGCTCTGGGTCAAGGAGCACTCACAAGCTATGGACGCTATCCTTTTACTTACCTGGAAAACTGAGCCGCCTACCAAAAGGACCTTCGTCTTATCTGGATTGAGTCTATTGACCCTCATCTAGCCCATTACCTTGGCCAGGTACTGGTTCAGGACAGCCACTGCCTCACCTGGAGTAGATGCAAATGAGAGGTAGAGCTGAGTGTCATTAGCATACTGGTGAGTCTGCAGCCCAAACCTCCTGATGATCTCTCCCAGCAGTTTCATGTAGATGTTGAAGAGCATGGGGGACAAAATAGAGTCCTGCGGAGCTCCATGGCAAAGCTGCCATGGTGCAGAGCTATAGTCCCCCAGCACCACCTTCTGGAATTGGCCAGCCAGGTAGGAGAAGAACCACTGCCATGCAGAGCTTCTAACTCCTAACCTGGCCAGCCTATCCAGAAGGATACCATGGTTGATGGTATCGAAAGCCACTGAGAGGTCCAGGAGAACCAACAGGGACACACTCCCCCTGTCCCTCTCCCTGAACAGGTCATCATACAGGGCGACCAAGGCAGATTCAGTACCATAACCAGGTCTGAAGCCAGACTGAAATGGGTCCAGATAATCTGTTCTTCATCTGGCCTCTGTGCATCACACATATGGGTGCTGTGCCTGCACAGTGCCTAAGGCCGGAAGATTGAAAGCTAATGGATTTTGGCGGGAAGCTCCGCTCCCCTCCCACTCACTAGTATATATAGAGTGGAGCGTCTGCCATTTTACTCAGCCTTTGCGACCGCTGTTCACCGTGCCTCATGCCGCTATCACTCTCGCCTAGACTTTCGGTTTCTCATCTCGTGGTTCTTGTTCGTGTTCTTGTTCTAGTTCTTGTTCATTTTTGTACCTATTCCAAGTTTTGTGTACCCAAATTTTATAATTCTTCTTGATTCTATCTCTCTCATTCTATATATATATATAAAAATCTTTCCTGCTTTACTATCATCTCCATTTCCTTTTCGCGATGGCACAGTGGGCAGCGTTCCGAAAATGTGTTAAGTGCGGCTCCAAAATGTTGCTGGCCGACCC